AAAAAAATGAGACAAAGAAAGAAGGATCTCCTTTCTTTCTTCGTTCAACATACATATACATACTTAAAATGCTTTACAATCACTACTCTCGTATGATCTTATACATGTATATATATATATATATATAAAAAGAGAACGAATATAAAGGGTATATATGTATATGGTTAGGAAGCATAGTTCGTTAAATTTTATTCGCATGCCGCTGCTGCGGCTGCTGCTGTCATAGCGGGAAGAACGAATAGCGGTGCCGATCACACACACATACTAATGCAGTCATACTCACTCATCTAAATGGCATCTGTTGATTTGAAACAGAGCGAAAGACTGAGAGAGCAATTGTTACATACTTGTCATAGTATCGGTCGGCTCGGTCATATCATCGGCAATATACGTAAATGTGTTCTTGATTAGCCATACATCTATGCATCAATACACACGTTCTTCATCACCAGATAATAGAAAGAAGTGGCACCCTATCGGCTAAGGTTAAATCATCATCACCATTATCATTCGTTTCATACTAGTATTCTATCCCATACATCATCTCATTATCATTTACAATATGTCTGTATATTTGAGTATAGAATATTGATTTGCATTTTTGTCAATTATTAGAGAAAGAGAGAGGGATAGAGAGAAAAAACCGTCAGTAAGCCATAGAGTTGCTTACTAGCACAATTGTTGTTGACATGAAGTCTGTCAGGATCATTCTCCGTAACAATATTATCTCCTTCTTCGTCTTCTTCTTCTTCTTTCTTTCGTTATGATTGTGTCCAAAGAACACAAGAAAAAAACATTGACAGATAAAGAAAGTTAGATTAACAAAAAATTCTTTCGAAACATAGAGTTGACAGAATATGATCGATTCTAATCATCAATGTAGAGAGAAAAAGAGGAAGTAGGGTTGACGTGACGATTGATAAGATCATTTATGTCTAACGTTTAACAGTCAAGTTTATTGGCGATTTTTTTTCTTTCCCTTTCCCTCTCTCTCTCTCTATCGTTGTGCTGTTCTTGAATAGAAGTAATTGATTCATGATGTTGTGCTTGTGAGAAATGAATATTATGATTTTAATCGATAAGTAATATTTATTTTATTCAATTCAACGATTTAACATTATATGATGAACGTAAATTTATGATCGTATATGATGAAATCATTTTTCAAGTGGAAATAATATTCAAATTTCTTTATGCATAAACTTGTATATTCATTGTCAGAACATATTTGATTAGCACGGGACCATTAAAAAAGAAGAAAAAATGTTTAGGTTCTTTTTTTTCTGCAAAAAAAAAATTCATGAGAAGTACTTAGTAACATCTGAGGTCATCGATCGTGTTCTGATAAATGACTTTTTAAGTAATACAGTTGACATACATCGTTAACAAGATATAAACAAAATTCGTGAAATTATGATAAATATTCTAGTTGACCTACAACAAATACATTATTTTCAAATTTAAACAATTTATCAATATAATAATAACTTTTATAAAAATTGAATTTTTTCCTTTTCCTTTAACCTTTTACAATGTAACTATTTGTGTAGTACAATCACTCACTTATCAGATTATGATTGGTGTTACATATGATAAGCTTACGTCCTTCTAAGCGGTGAGAGATTATGACAACATAAATGGCAGTAGATATCAGTTGATGACAAGTGCCTATTTAGTACATTCATGTGGTTCAATGTAATCGTACAATTTAGAACAAAATCATCGATCAACAGCATATGGTGATAAGACATAATTGTCTTGCCTTGCGTTGTTGATCTACGTTTTAAGGTCATGGTCACACATGTATATATAAATTATTAGTATTTTCTTGTATATCCGAGTGGAATCTATTAAAACAATTGATTTTGAATCGCTTGGAAATTATTGAATTGATCATCTGTAAATAAAGGATATACAATTTTCTTTGCTAATAATCAATTAGTTAAATGATTGAAAGATTTCTACCAGATATATTTTATTCTTTCGTATGATAGGGTTTTTAATGTATGTTCTTCATATAGTTTTTGCCCAAGAGCAAATGAGTTTTTATTATATTAACATCTGTTCTTTTATATCAATGTCAATTTAATTAGAAGAAAAATATTTATCAATTGTATGATTATTATTTCCTATTGATTGAAATATTACAACTAACTATTAGATTTTTTTTATGATAAAAAAAAGAAGACATATATATATAATTTCAAAACAACTAATAAGATTTAGTGAGACAATGAAAATTATGTTTTTATTCTTAAATATTAATTCCAGTAATATTTTCCATATGTTTTAGTTATTGATGATAAACGCATGGATAAAATATCTGGATAAATGATTTTCATATATCATATCGAACACATTTGTTATAACATTAGTAATAAGTATAATTACAATTAGAGAAAAAAATACTAATAAGTAAATTGATTCCTTGACAATGTTCTGATATTAGAAGATTTATATCGGTATAAAACTTGCCGAATATTTCTATACCAATTTCGTTTGAACGAGGTTGACAGGTATTTGATAAAGATGAACAATCATATTATTATGGATGAACACACATAGTTTTGACATGATGAATGAATTGTTTTGATATAGAATAATTGTCTTTGATAGATAAACGACAATGTCATAAAAGCAATATTTCATTGTTTGAAGTAAGCATCATATATTATACATATTGATTCACTTATTCGATCTAATATATCTGCCCGTCAACAAAAAACTTTCAACTACTATTTTATCTTATTAAACTAGAATTTATAGATAAATCAATTATATTACGATAGTGTAAAATATGTGATCTCTTTATTCAACCTTCAAGGTAGTTATCTATCACATTTAGATAAATATATCAAAATAATTATTTTATTTTATACATATTCACAAAGAAGAAGTATGAGTACTAGATCAATACCTACCAGTTGATAAATAATAATTCGAAAAGAAAAAAAGGTTATATGATCCATGATTTAATTAAATTCGAATGATAGACAAATATTTTTCTTACCTATTAGCTTCATGTTCAAGTACATTGTTTTTCTTTTCTCTTGTCACATACGTATATATACAAACAATAATTGAATATTCTTATCGTTGACTGAACAAGTTTGATGTGTTCAATCATATGTTTACACTTTATATGCGGGTACATATATGTATAAGGTCAATTGAATAAGATTGGAGAGAACGTATAAACAAAAAACTAGTTAGACAATCGAGATAAAATCTATTTGTCTGATTAAATGATAAGATTCTCATCAATAATCTAGTTGAAAAGTTCATAGCATATCAAGTTAAATTAACTTTCATTCTTTATTATATATTCAAATTGATCGATCGATTATTTTGATTTATTGTCGATATTATTTTAAATGAATAGTTGCTTGCATAATCTTGAAAATTGATTCATTAAATAACAAATAATAATATATCTATGAAAAGAATGTCTAAATAATTACATTTATTGAATAATAAAATTGAATCTGTCAAATTCTATTTATATCATATATTTAAAAAGAAATTGAGATGAATTTAATCTTCTTTAAACATATAAATATACTTTTCATTACATTTTTGACAGATCTGTTTCCTTGAATAGTTACAGATTAAAATAAAGTATCTTATTATAAGTCTTGAAATAATAAAAAAAACTGTAATCTCTCATATTCTCAATGAATGAACTATATTATCTCTTCAGAAAAAACTAGTTAATACAATTATGAGAACAAAATGTATTATTAATATCGTGCATTTAATAACAAAGAATTTTCGTCTTAGATACAGTTCAAATATTTTTGTCATATATACATTAAATTGATGAGATTATTTGCTATTTATTCTAATCGATGTAGGCATGTACTCAACTCGAACGTTCAATCATCTTTAATTCATTGATAAAAAAGAATTCAATGACGTTTGGAAATACCCAAGTTCGAATCTTATATATCTTAAGAATATAATATTCTATTACAATTCTTTAACAGAAACCAAATTTATCTTTCAATAAATAATCATTTATATTCAGGGGTGGCGCGAGTCAGCCAACATGGGGGGGGGGGGTGTTATATCCCCGATACTTCCCCGGTCGCGCCACCTCTGCTTATAATTCTACATGTTTCTATGTAAAATTAATGTATTTTCTTGTAGGAAAACTTTTTTATTTCGTAGATAACAATTACGCCCAAAAAAAGCTATTGTTTTTCAATTATCTGATATATATATATAAGACTGAATATTATTTCTTTGCATGATTTATTTTTGAAGGCAAGATATTGCTCTTTAACTAATGTATTTTACCATATACAACAAGATAATTATCTCTTTGTCAATCACAGTCAACTTATATTATTGGTGACATTAAATAACTGAATAAGAAACTTTTAAACATATCGTTTAGTTTCTTAATATTGATTTGTAGGCGTTGATCTTCTCTTGATATGACAGGACATACGCCATAAAAGAAAATGAATAATATTTTGCATCGATATTGCAGAATATTCACGAATACCAAACAAAAACAAAAAAAAAATTCAAAAGACAAGAAAGAAAGAAAGAGAAAATGTTTCAAACAGTGCCTGATGTTGAAAGACGTTTAGATAAACGCGTTGCTTGACGTCGACTTTCTAATTGACGCATCATTGGATCATGTGGATTCCATGTTAACATTCGTACAGTTTTAGCTGTATTTGCTGTTAATGTATGTAATGACGCTGTTGGAGTTAAATTTGTATCTGTTGGTATTGTACTGTTTAATAATGTGTCTTTAACTAATTGATGTTGTCGTCGTCGTTCAAAATTTGAATAATAATGTGATGTTTTATAAGCAGCTTGATTTTTTCTATTATAATCATATGATGAATCCATATCTGCTGTATCTGACACATGTCGTTCAAGTGTAACAAGACATGATGGTTCTGTACAACAAAAACATATATGTTTAAATAAAAAAATAATCGTCGTACCAAATATTCGAAAAAATATTCGACGATTTATACGTTTGAAATCCATACGAAAACGTGTTGATGTTGCCCAATACAATAGAAAATTAATAGCATGATTAGATTCACGCATACCTTTTTCAATAACTGTTAAATATGGATGAAAAACACCCATACATACTTGAACATTTTCATAGAGATTTCGTGTAAATTGACATTGAGGATAATAATAAAATAGATATGCTACACACCAATGTAAATAAAATGGACCCAATAAGAGAACAAATGCAAATGATGCAACGAGTAACATTACTGTTGTACCTCGTTTATCCACTACACTAAAAACAAAAATTAAATATTATTAACAAGTCTTGTTTTATAAGGAAATAAATTAGAACTACAAGCTCATAAACTATTCAAGTATTGTCAAAGTAAACTTCCTGTTCGATGTATATAGAAAATGATCATAGACAATAATTTCCTGTTTTACATCGTTTGTAGTCTACATATATTCATATTTAATAAGTTATATATATGGAATTATTTATTTATTAATCATTGATGTTATAGGCTTTTCTTGTTAGAATAAAATATTGAAAAATATAGTGTTAATATTCATATGATAATAAACAAATGAATAGACTTATCTATTTTATGGAATGTTAATAGTATTACACATTCCATAAATACTTTCTATCTATTGATACAATAATTTTCAAAACAGAAACTTCAATATCTGTTTGTAATACAAACTGAATTCGCATTAATACTTCATTATATATTTGTAGTTATATATAGTACTTAAAGCTCTTGAAAAGCAATAAAGTCTCAATTATCAGACCATCGAGGTCGATCGCCTCATTATATCTGCCTCTCCTTGAGCTATAAAAAGTTCTTTTTTCTCTAATGAGTACATTAAAGACTTTCATTCTCATTAACCATATCAATATGTCTAATTAATAGATAAAAATACTACGTTATTTTTTTTCTTCTTGTCATCATCATTAAGAATTAATTATTATCTTACTTTGTAGAAAAACGTCTCATTGTTCCATTTTCATCTTTTGTCATAAAACGTTTTTTTGATTTTTTCAATTCCATAATAATTAAAAAATTACTTATTGATATTCCAACAAATGGTACCATTGCATAAGAAAATACTGTAAAAAATCCACGAAATATTTGATAATATTGTGCATTAGTTGTATCAAATGCTTCACAATGTAATGGACCAGTTGTATAAAATATAAAATCAAATGGAATTGGTGCAATAAATATAAACATGATAAAACCTAATAATGGTATACGAAATTTATCGAATGTATGTCGACAAAATGGATATTTAATAACAATACATCGTTCAATAGCTATTAATAATAATGTTGTTGATGAACATTGACGAAAATATAAGAAAAATATACCAAACATTTTACAAAATAATGCTGAAGTTTTTAAATAAGTCATTACTGTACGAAATAATTGGGCAAATAAACTTGATGCTAAACTTAATAAATCAAAACATGTTAATGCTAAAAATAATATAAATGATGTTGATCGTCTTAATGAACCACACATTAATACAAGAAAAACAAATGTATTTAATATAATACCAATTATAACAATAAAATATGTAAACATAGCTAAATGTTTTAATGATAAATTTCTAAAAGCATTATAACGTTGACAAAATAAATATTCATCATTAAGAAAATCAATTTTATAACGTTTTTCAAATAAATTCTCTCCACTTAGATTATGAAATGTTAAATTAAATGATTTACCACATACAGATAAGAATGAGTTATTTGAACGCATACAACATCCAGCATGCCATTGAGGTTTTTGTGATAATGAAAATGTTATTGACGATGAATTTATATCAAAATCACCAAAATTATAAAAATGTCGATTGAATGTTGTTATTTCTGTTGGTGGTAATGTTGTAGCAAATGTTAAAGGACATAATGATAAAAATAAAAGAATAAATAAAGTTAATTTTGGAATAAATATTTTAGTTGTTTTTTGTTCTATTAAATTATGTTCGGATATATAACTACGTAAATGATCAGTTGAAAGAATAAAATCAATAAAATATTCTAATTTTTTAACGACGATAGTAGACTGAATTAATCGATGATGTACTTGCACAATTTTGTCGAGTAAATGTTGTTGAAGCATTAACATTTTGAAATGTATTTGATGGAATGGAACATTCACATGTGCACGAACATAAATGATAGCAGCAACAACGGAAATAACCAAGAAATTGTTTAGGACGTGATAATCGAATATTCGATATATTTTCTTCATTTCGACGTTGATGTTGGGTTTTTTTATAATTGTTATATTGTGGAGAAATGGAGGTGGATGATGATAATGAAACATTTTTATTCTTATTATTATGATGATGACGAGTCGAACAAGCAGAGGAAGAAGAAACAAGTAAAGTAGTACGACTAAGACTGCTTGATGAGGGTACTGTTGTTGGTGGTTGAGATTTTCTTTTAGTTTTAAACATGATGATGAACGAACGATAATGATAAGACAACAACAACAACAACGGATGTAACAATACAATGGAAATGACAATTTAATGACGAGAGATTTTTGATCACTAAAAATAGAATTATTATTATTATTATAATATATTGAACAAGGACAAATTCTGACAAGATATTAATAAATCTTCATTTCCGTCAAAATTATAAAACAAAATTTTTTACTAATTCACAAGAGATTGAATCTATCAGAAATTCTTATTTTATCATATAGAATATAACAATTTCTTTTTTCATAGAATTAATACTCACTTATGTTTAGCAATCGAAGCAAATAATAACTATTCAATAACAAGTATCGAAGAATACACGTATCCATATATATATCTATATATCTATATCTATATCTATACATAACTACTTTGTTATCTTCAATCGTTAGAAAACAAACAAAATAGACCAATCCACTGTACAAAGATTAATAATTATGCTTAGGTTTTTCTTTTTTTATCGTAAAACTACTGTCGTAACTAATATACAGCATTCTTATGCGACACATTCTATTTCTCGCTTGAGAATTTTTCGTATATCTATGTAGTAGCCATTTTGACGTGCTTGTGATGATGATGATGGTATGTATGTGCTATTTCATGCATTATCAATGCCAATTTTGCTTTCCGCATACAATTCGATAATGTTTTGAAATCAAACATACTAATTTATCAATAAATATAAATATTTTGCCAATAATATCTTATTAATTATTTTATTTGTACAAAGAATTTTTGTTTTCGAATAAACGAGCTGGCGCGTATGTGAATAAATATATATATATATATATATATATATACTAATAGTCTCTTTACAAGATATAGAAGAAACGAAAGAGTAGAAGACTAAGAATATTGCCTAGAAGTTATCCTCTTCTTTTTTTTTTTGTTTTGTTGTTTTGTTGTGTACATACTGTTAATATCACCAACAATAAAACAATAAGTACAAGAAGACCTAATATATTAGCGATATTTACAAATTTGTTTGATTGCTAATGACATATATGCAGTTGTATAAGATGACAATCAAACGAACATGTGTGCATATATTTGCCTGAGAGTACGAGAATAGATAAGAGTAAATAGAGAACATTTAATCGGATTAATATTATACATCTCAAAGGCTTGTAGGTGTAAAAGAGTTTTTTTTTATGACACTACTACTCGATAATTATCTTGATATAGAAAAAAAAAGAAGAATTTCGAAAGATTGACGAATTACCTCTAAATAAAATCGAGGTACAATTATACAATAGTAAACTGTCGTAGTTAGTAGTACTGATAAAACAAATATTGATCAAATTGCAATTGCACGAGCGTATGATTGAACAACACCCACATTATGATTATCACGAACGCAATATGTTACTATTTTCTCAATTTTCAACATCAAATAAAAAGAAAAAGGCAACAGTAGTAAAAGAAGAAAGAAAAAAAGCAGAGAGAGAGAAATCAAGGAAGGAAAAAAATCCGAAATACTTTTCTTTTTTACCATCTGATGCTTAATATTTGATAATAATAAATGATTTATAATATAAGAAAAAAAAATGATTGTATTTAATCAATATTACTCACTTTTTTTTTGCTTCTTTATTGAACAAGATAAAAAAAAGTTTGATGATTAATCTGCAATTGTATATATAATAAAAATTGAGTATAATTGAGAGACAAACCAGAACTGGTTAGGATCTCTCTTTTTTTTTCTTCTTCTTCTTCTTCTCTCTTTGTTGATTTCCGCTTGATGTCAAACCGAGATGTTTGTATTAAGATGATATATCTACTCGTTTCGTCCGATAACTCTTAGTTGATGATAAATGGAAGATTTGTCGCGTTTTCTTGTCGAATAATCGTTATTATAAATAAATATATAAATATATGGATAGTTCAGACGATTTGTGTTTTATATATCACTAACATTTACCAAAAAAAAATATACTACTTCCGAATAACAATGAGAAATCAAGGAAATGATCTGTTTAAATACTACTTTCCTAGTGTAATGACGACAATAGAGTGCAGTGAGACTTTAGGCGACGCGCTGACACACACACACACACA